TGACTTTTGTTTGTTTGTTTGTTTGTTTGCTGAGATAGAATTTTGCTATGTAGCCCAGGCTGGCCATAAATTTACTCTGTACCTGAAGATGGCTTTAAACTTTTGATCCTTCTGCCTCCACAGTTAATGTAGTTGTTTATACCAAATTAAAGGAGAGAAATGAGCTCAGTAGCAAGTGTGGGGAGCTGGGTGAATAATGTTGGGGTGCTTGAGTTGCCTCTAGGTTTACTGACAGCTAGGTTGAGAATGAACCCTTTGAAGAGCAAGCATGCAGTGTTCCTTGGACAGGTAATTGTCTGGAGTCCAGGAAGAGTAGACTTGCTTTCTAAGCTGTTTTAACTTCCTGTGGTGGCTCGGCTGTAAGGGTGCTTATCCATGAGGGCGCCCCCCACATTGGTTATCCACCGTGATGCCATCTGAAATTCAGTGTCTACCCTGGCATTTCAGAGCTCCAAGACCAGCTGAGTCACAGCACTTAGGTTTTTTGTTTGGTCAGTTATAGTGTGTGTGTGTGTGTGTGTGTGTGTGTGTGTGTGTGTGTGTGTCCATGTCCGCGCGCACGAGCATGTTATTCCAGTCCCTGATGACAGGGCCTTCTGCTAAATTCTTAACACTGCCCTAAAAATAAATAATCTTGTGGCATCAGGAACCTAATGGCTCTACACAGGTGACAGAAACTTCTGTGGCTTCTTTGACTTAATGGTGGTCTGGGTGAGCATTTCTCAAATAAGCATTCTAGAAATCAGAACATGAATTTATGGAAGGTATGTGACTGATAGCTTTATCCCTCTTCCTGTTCCTAAGAGTTTTGGAACTAGCAGTCCAGTTTTGTGCCCTCCAGGAGGGAAGGAAGGAGGGGTGGAGGGAGGGAGGAAGGGAGGAAGGGAGGGAGGGAGGGAGGGAGAGAGGGAGGAAAAGAGACAGAGACAGAGACACAGAGAGACACAGAGAGATGGAGAGCAGAGAGTCCAGAGAAAGACAGAGAGAGTTCAGAGAGACAGTCAGAGACAGAGATATACCTGCCAGAGGGTGTCGAACTTCTTCCCCTCAGGGATGGAGAGCTTCCCGGTCTTGTCCCTGTCAATGCGATAGTGCAATACCTTCCCTTCGTGCAGCAAGCATAGTGCATAGGAGCCACTGTTGTCTCTGGCCCTGATCCTACGAGAGAGAGCATACCATATTACCCCTTCTGTGACCTTTTGACCTAGGAAGCAGTACCCTTGCCACAGCTGGTGGTCCTAGTGGGTAACAGGTGCTCACCAGAACCAACAAGCGGGCAGGTAGTGGGCAGGCAACACCCAGACCTCGAGATCACAGGAAGGCTCAGTACCAGAGCCAGTGAGCCAGCAAAAAGGAAATACCAAGGGTGGGAAATGGACCATGGCAAAGGTCCAGCAGGGCCATGGAGCTTTGGAGATCAGTGAAGGAGCTTGGGGTCTGTGTAGCTCAGGGCAACAGGCACAGGCTTTGGGGTGTCTGTGGAGCCCCTAGACTCAGGTATAGGGCAAATGAGGACTCTAGTGAGCATTTTAACAGAATTTTCTGGAGCATATATGGAAGATTATGAACGTTTCTACTCCTATGGTCTTCTTTGCTTCAGTGTCAAGGCTGAGTTTAGAACACTGTTATTAGCATCAGGTGGCATCTGCTACCTGAGACGGGAATGGTAGCCACATGGCATGAGCCAACAGAGACAGCCAGAGGTCTGAGTCGTCTGTAGGTGAATGAGGACTTCATTGGTTCACTGGCATCAGGAGCTACATGTAGGATTCCAGGCCCCCATGCCAAGTGACAACACATAGGTGCACCCTTGACCCTCAAGACACAGGCACAAGGCAGTCCTGACATCAGAGGAGGAATCGGTACTTGGAAAGACCCCAGAGAGGGTGTTATCCAGGCTGATGTGGCAACAGGAGATGTGACTCTCCCAGTTCAGAGCCTCATTTCTCTGAGGCCATGCTGTACCCCTCTTTCCAGCAACTCATGCCCTCTAATCATGAGGTCTGGGGAAGGGTGAGTCCGTAGGACATCTGTGCGGTCTGGGAGTCCCTGAGGCCTCTGTGGCCTCCTCGTTTGCTAAGGAAAGGAAGATAAATTTTCAGAGCAGTCAGCAACATTCAAATGCATTGGATTTGGGAAGAGCTCAATCAAGTCCCAGCAGCAGACACCCGGAGAAGGGTGTCTGCAAACTGAGGTGATTTGTACGGCTTTCTCCAGCTACACAACGTCAAGGCCACAGCCACAGTTCAGGCTGAGCTGGGCCTTGGGACCGGATGTGACCTCACTTCCCTTTCTTGGGCCATACCCATCTCCTCAAAGTCTGGGGGGTGTTGCAGGGGGAGGTTGCAACTTCACGAATGATTTCCTTTTGAAATGGTGCTTGCCTGGCCGAGTGGCCAGGGCTCCCTCCAGGCCCCTGCTTGAAGCTCAGGGCAGCTGGTGAAGGGTAGAAGACCCTTCCTGGCCATTGCAGATGCGTGCTCCGAAATTTCGTCACTGTGGAAACAACCCCTCCTTTCTACAGTGAGTCATGAACACCCTGAGGTGTCAACTCCTTTGGGATGACCGTGTGGCTGATTAAAACCTTGTTGGTTACTGGGTAACGCCCAGTCAAACAATAAAACACTATATAGGATCAGAGGGTTGAACCTGTTTTCTGGGGAAGCCATTTACAATGTGTGCTGGCTCTATCTTATAGACACTAGCAGCTTGCTGAAAGGACAATGTGTACACACACACACACACACACACACACGTATGTAAGGGCTAGGACATGGTTCAGTGGGTAAGAACACTTGCTGTAAATCAGATTGGACATGTTCACATGTGTCTGTAAGCCCAGTGATGGAGGTTGGAGAGAGACAAATGCCAGGCTGACCAGCCCAGCTGAAACAGTGAGAGACCCTGTTTCAAGGGAATAAGTGGAAAGTGACAGAGGAAGATTCTGGCATTTTCATTTGCATGCATGGCTATGCACATCAACACACATAAGTAGACATAGAACACAGTGATAGAGGAAGGGAGGGAGAGAGGGAGGGAGGGAGAGGGAGAGGGAGA